CAGCTTCTGCTGTGATGTAGCAAAGGAAAAGCCTTCACAGAATTTGCTGGACAGTTTCTTGTCGCCACCAACACACCTACAGCCTTCTCAAATCCAGAGGCAGTTACTCAGCTGGTTCAGAGGCCGAAAAAAGGGAGTGACAAAAAGACAGCCAAGTCAGCAACTTATCTGGACACTTAACTTTCTCGTGCAGCCGTTTTATGTGAGGGGAAGAAAATCCTGCTTGCTTGTTGGATTTAGGAGAATTTCCCACGACTGATGGCTAGAGGCTAAGCAGGTCACTCAGATGTGGCTAAACCAGAATACTCACTGCGGGGATTCTGCTGGGAGTTGGGAAAAATATGTAAACCAAAGGTTTGTTTGGAAATAGATTGTTTTCTGTGTGTTTCAAGGGAAGTGATGCTTTGTCAAGTACCGTGGGCCTTGGATGTATTTTAGACGTTCCTTCTGTGGAAGTTCGAAATCTGTGTTCATGTTCCCGACTCGAAAAGTCTCAGGTGAGTCCCCAAAAGCGCAAGGGGGGTGGGTGGTGTCCCATCAGCACAGGGCACCCGGGCTCGAACTCCAACACCCTCATCTGTCCGATGGGGGCGGGGGAGATGCAGGAGGGTTGGGGGGCAGGCCCGGGGCACTCGGGGCCCGCACTCGATGTGCTCAGCCTGGCTGCTGACCTTTCGGTCACACGCGGCCGAAGCCTGGTGCCACCAGGTGATGTGGCTCCCAGGAAGAGCCGGGCCAGAGTCGCTCTGACCCTCACCCGGCCTGTCTGCCAGGCAAGGTGGGGGGCCGAGCTGTGAGCTGGGCCAGCAGCAACGCCCTAGAAAGCTGAACTGCGAGAAACGGCATCACAGATCCTTCTGTCCATATTCACGTGCCTGTGTCTTTGGCTTTACATTCTCTCTGGTTTCATCTCTAAGTATTCCTGTGTCTCTGTGTCCCTCTCTTGTTATTATAACTCAGAATCACAAACATTTTTCTGTTTAAGATGGCACACCAAAATAGCATCATATTCCTGTTTTTATTTTAAAAAAACAGATGAGCGGAATATTGCATAATTCTTTTTAAAAAGGCAAAAAAAAAAAAAGAATTTAGAAATTAAATTCTTTAAACTTCTGAGCTATAGAATAGACCCAGCACAGGGCCAGCCAACATCTCACGAATGCTAGCTGCCTTCTCCTTTGAAAGACAATTCACTCGTAGCTAGACTCTCTGGGCTGTCAGGGATGAGAAAGTCGCTAGCCCGGCCGCTCTTGAATTTCCCACCAAACTGCCAACTGGGACGTCTTCCAGCCTCAGCTGGAACGGCCCTTGTGTTGGCGGAGGTGGGGAGAGAGACGTTCCGGGGGCAGCAGATGAGCAAAGACGTGGAGGGGCTGGGAGGAGGGGAGCCTGCACGCTGCCGGACTGGGCGGGGTCCAGGTGGGTGGCCCGGGGGGCCGCTGACCAGGGAGCCAGGCAGTAACTCCCCTCTCCCGGGTGGAGGATGGACATGAGGAGAAGCGGGGCAGGAGCAGAGCTGGTTCATGGAGGGCAGTAGAGGCAGGAAGCTGGGGTCCAGCCAGGGGTAGTGGGGAGCAGAGTGGGCCGGTACCGTCAGATCCAGAAATGAGGGGCCTCGCTGGAGGTGACGGGAGAGGATACGGCAAAGGGAGCAAATGCAGAGAGAGATGGCCCCGGGGTTTCCATCCCGAGCCCTGAGTGAGGCTGAGTGACACGGGTGGGTGCTGCGGGGAGCACGTCGGACACACGACGCTGTCGTGAGCACCCCGCTGTCCCCGGCTGGGGCGTCGACGTTGGCTTCAGGGAGCGGGGCGCGTGGAGGCCACCCTGTCAACACCCTATGTTCCATCACAGACCGTTTCTGCGCCGTAAGGAGTGAACAGCCAGACAATATGAAGCAGGTTTCAGGAAGAGGCGGCGGTTCTCCCTGGTGGAGTTTGGCGAGACCAACAAGAGTTTAAGTGAGGCCATCGCCTGAGGGTCCTGCCTGGGAAGGGATGCCGGTGGAGATCTGATGACAGGATTTCCTCTAAGAGTTAAGGAGGCAGGATTGTGGAGGACAAAGGTGGGGACGCACTTGCTGGGACTGGACCTGCGCGTCTGGGGAGGCTCTATCTGCCCACTTGTCTCTGCGGGGTACTGGCCCCAACTTCCTGCAGGACCCTGGACAGGCGAGAACCTAGGTCAGGCTCTGGGACGGCCGTGCCGGTCAAGAACAGTGGCCTCTCTCTGACGCCCAGCGCCAGAGTCCAGCCAAGAAGGCGCTCCCTCTCCAGAGCCCTGGCTCCGGTCCACGTGTGGCGGGCCCGAGGCTCTGGTCCAAGGGCTCCAGGGCCCTGGTCCCCGCGGGGCTGAAGCACCACCCCCACGGCTGAAGACAGGACACCCTACGTGCCTGAGGTCCTGGCCTGTGGACCCATCGCTGACTCGGCACAGAGCCCAGCGGCCGGCCGGGCTGCAGGGCGCGTGGACGGGAATGTGCCGTGTTGTGGTCGGCTCGGTGGAAGGGATGCTTTGAACTTGAGTATTTACCCTACAGGGCCTGACACCCGAGGAAGCCTCCAGGCCTGGGAGCACGCTGGACCCAGGCCGACGGTCTGTTTGCCCCCAACACCTCATTATTTAGGGGGTAGTTGGAACACCCCTGCACCCCCTAACCTGGATCCTCTCTGAGGACAGTGGCCAAGCTTGGTTGACTGGATGACCCAGCGTCTGTCAGCAGCTCTTGGCACAAGTAGGTGCTTAATAAATATGTGTCAGTTACTGTCTTTTCTTCTAAATATAAAACTTATAAATCACAACAGCTCCTATTTCTAGAGCTCTTTAGGGAAAAGGCCCTCAGACATCACAGAACTAGTCTGAACACGGACAAAACGGTTAGAAAAATTTACACCCAGAAGCAGCGTGTTAAGATTTTACAAAGGTGTGTAATTGCCGGGCTGGGGTCTAAAGCAGCACAGGAGTGTATCTTTGCTCTCGCTGTCCAGTGAGCAGGCATTGAGTCGCTGCCACTTACTACGAGACAGAACATCTGCTGCTGCGTCTCCCAGGCTGGGGGGCGGCGGGATGGGAGCCTGGCCGCGCCTTTGGGCGGTGCCAGGCTGGTCCCCCACTGGCTCCACAGGGCTGGGACGGGGCTTGTGACCCCAGGCGTGCCTCCCTGCGAGGGGGCTGGTCTTGCCTGTGAGACCCAGTGTGGCTTTGCTGAACCCTCGAAAAGTCAGCCCACAAAGTTCCTCCTGTTATGTGTGAGGTTTGCATGCATCTCTCCCGTCTTCCATTACCAAGACAGTCACTCGTGCAGTCGGCATTTACGTCAGGCACTTTGGTCACAGGCACTCCCCAGATCCCCTCCCCCTGCAGGGGGATGTGTAGTAACCACAGCCCAGACCGGCCTGGAACCGGCTAGGACACAGGAGGCTGGTGTCTCTAGTAAAGTGACAGGAGGAAAGGAGGCGCCGGTGGGTGGGAAGACGCAGACTCGGCCCTGCCCCTCCTTTAGTCCTCCATGGGCCTCCGCACCTGTAGGTCACTTGTCACCTCACGCAGTGTGAGACTGCAGGGCTGGTACCTTCCTGTGTCCCCATCTCCTGGCAGTGACTCCTGGCGATGTTGGTGACACACTGTCGGGCTGAAGGCTGCTGGGGCACCTTTGTCTGCTCCTGCTGTGCCCACAGCCTGCCCGGCCCACGTGACTGCCTGTCAACTCCTCATGGCCCTAAGTGTTCAAGGACGACGGTGTGAGCCCAAGTACAGGTGAGGATGAGGCTCCAAGGGTTCAGAAACGAGCCTCAAATCCCAGAGCAACAGCAAGTGCTCGCTGGAATCTATGTCCCACCCGTGGTTCCAGGACTCGGCCGCGAGGCCAAAAGCAAGAAACGGTTCTGTGTTTCGAGGCGGGTGTCGGGGGCAGAGGCTCAAAGGGTGGTGGTCTCCCTGCCCTCTACGTGAGACGAATGGATGGACCCAGACATCATCATACTCAGTGAAGGAGCTCAAACAGAGAAAGACAAATGCCGTATGACATCACTTACGTGTGGAATCTAAAATATGACACAAATGAACTTACTTACAAGACAGAAACAGACCCACAGATATAGAAAACACACTTATGCTTACCAGAGGGGAACGTGGGGGGATAAATTAGGAGCATGGGATTGACATGTACACACTCTGCCATATATAAAATAGATCACCAGCAAGGGCCTGCTATAGAGCACAGGGAACTCTACTCAGTATTTTGCAATATAGCTATAAGGGAAAATATCTGAAAAAGAATATCTATCTATTTATCTACCTATCTACCATCTATCTATCTATCTATCTATCTATCATCTATCTATCTACCTATCATCCATCTATCATCATCTATCTACCTATTTATTATCTATCATCTATCTATATATCATCTATCTGTCATCTATCATCTATCTGTCATCTATCATCTATCAATCATCTATCTTATCATCTATTATCTATCATCTATCTATATGTCATCTATTTATCATCTATATATCATCTATCATCTATCTCTCATTTATCTATCATCTATCTATCATCTATCTACCTATTTATTATCATCTATCTATATATCATCTATCATCTATCTACCTATTTATTATCTATCATCTATCTATATATCATCTATCATCTATCTATCTACCTATTTATTATCTATCATCTATCTATATATCATCTATCTCTCATCTCTCATCTATCTATCTATCATCTATCTATCTACCTATCTACCTATCTATCCATGTATAACTAAATCACTTTGCTGTACATCTGAAACTAACATGACATTGTAAATCAACTACACTTCAATAAAATAAAAAAAAAAATAAAGTGAGAGGACGTTTGCTGGCAGAGAGGGCAGACGGGCAGGAGGGGAGGACGCTGCGGCCGCGCGAGCGCAGCGGGAAATCACGGGGGGGGCGGGGGGGGCGCATCCCACCGCCACCCGCCGCCCTCCCGGCCAGAGCCCCGGCGGTACGTACAGGTGAGCACTGCGGGGCAGCGGTTCTTGGGCACGTTCTCCCCCCTCTGGGCCACGAGCGAGCTGTCGGGCTCGGCCTGGTAGGCACACAGAGCCTCCCACTCCTTCTCCAGGCGGTTCTTGTTCTTCAGGTGGTCCTCCATGTAGGCCTGGAGGGAGAGCGAGAGTCAGGAGCGCCAGGCGGGAGGGCGCGGGCCCCTGGCGGTGACGGGACGCCGGGCGGCCCGTGGGGTGCAGCCCACAGTTCCCCTGCTGAAGTGGGGTAGGGCTGGCTCGGGGCCTGGTGCAGGGCCGAGGGCTAACCAGACGCAGGGGGTGCGGCAAAGGCTGCCCCGTGCTTTGGGGGTTGGTTCAAAGGTGGTCACGCTGCGTTTGCCGTGGTGCCAAGGGGGGCGGTGAGAACACCCAGCGACCGTGAAAACAGACACACACACCGCAGGCCAGGTCTGATGCGCCAGCCCAGAGGTGGGATGTGTGTCCAGCCAGGAGCGAGGTCAGGGGATGGGCGCAGTCAGGGAGGCTTATGGCGCCGCACTTTGTGGGAGGAAAGCTTAACACAGCGCGGGGGAGGGGCAGGCACGCGTGCAGGCGTGTCCGGTGCGGCCGGGGACGGAGAGAGCCCAGGGGCCCTGAATGTCTGGCTGGGGCATCCAGGCTCTGAAGTTAGGAGCAAGGGAGGTTTGGGAGCCGGGTCTGCAGGCCCTGCCTCTGTGCTTGGAAACACGCACAGGAGGACCCTGCTCTCTGCATCAAGGAAGGAACGTGCTCAGATGCTACTCGGAGGAAGCGAGCTAGGGCTGGGTTAAAAAACAGGGCCGACAGAAACGTGTTTGTCAGCAACTTCAGTCTGAGAGAGCATCTCAGGTGTCATGCTCTGCACTCGGTCTCATTTTCTTTTTCCCCATCTCAGAGAACCACTGCTTACCAACAGATACTATGTTGCAATAATTGTTTGAAATATTTTCAGTGAAAACTAGGAACACACTGTTTGAAAACTATTGTATGTATCCAAGCAAAATCGTGTCCAAGTGGTTTCTCTTGGACAGAAACGAAACCACACCCTCCCAAGATCCTCCAGAGCCTGGGTCAGGCGCTCAGCCAGGGGTCCCGGTGGGGACAGCCAGGAGTGGGGGGGGACCCTGCCCGGCACCACGGCTGCCGTTTAGTCCCCAGATGAGGGCTGACTATGCACACAGGCCCCGGTGCAGGGAGGGAGCACAGGTGTCACTAGCGGTGACGACAATCCTGCCACTCGCCACACATTCGAGGGCAGGGAGCTCAGACGGGGCCTTTGCTAGGGCTGCTCCCGCTCCAGTTTCTGTTGGCACAGAAGTAATTTTTCTTGAAATTGCCTGGCTTTTCTGAACCCACCGGGGGTGCTGCATTTAAGACACTGGGCTGCTCTGATGTGCGCAGCGTCACATGGCTGGCAGTGTTAAAAAACAAAAACAACAAACCGAGTATTTGACCCACAGCTGCTCTGATCTTACTTTGTCAGGCACTTGTCTGTTGGCAGAGATACTAGGAGAACTGGATGGGGAAATAAAGGCCTCCAGAACGTTCCCTCCACAAAGACTCCCAAGCCAGTCCTGCCTACTCACCTTATTGATCTGTTCAGTCCAGAAATGACTGTGATTTTAGGGAAGAGCATTTCAAAGGAACAACCCGGGTGGCTTTATTGTGCCCAAAGGAAATAGTGGTCCCATCCTCTAACATCTTGCTTGTGGGTTTTCAAATATGCCCACACAGCAAAATGAAACACACGCACACACGAGGCCAGGTCTCCAGCGGTCAGGCACCCCAATGTCCGGCCAAAGCTTACACCCGTCCCACATCACCCTGACCCCTCCGTCAGCCCCCTCGTCCACTCACTCCAGCTGACCACCGGGCTCGGATCATCCCCCCCACTGCTCTTGGCCGCCCTGGCTCATCGGCATCCACTCCAGGGGACAGAGAGGCATGAGAAAAGGAAGGAAACTCCACCAGACAGTCATGCTGGGGTCCCACACTTCTCAGGGAAATGTTGACTACAGCAACTTGAACTGTTCTGTATTATTCACTCAACAAACACAGACTCTAATCCATGTTGGTCTGACTGGTGTGTGTATCAATGTGCGTGAGCTGAACCAGAGCTCGGAAGCCGGGTGCCTGGTGGGCGATGTTCCAGGGGAGAAGTCACCCTCGGGGCCGCCTGGCCCAGCAGCTGAGGGCCCCCCCGGCAGGTATGCCTCCGGGAGGGCCAGCGACGGGGCCCTGGGTGACGGTCACATATCCCTCAGCCCCCTGCTCCAGCCGCTTAGGGAACCAGCAGATGGTCTTTTATGCAGAAGACCGAGAATTGTGACCATGAACCCCTTTTCAGGGACAGACCGTGAACCTCAGAAGCTCACCCTCATCAGGAACAGAAACATCGCAGCAGTTCTAAGTGCCCGGCCACTGCCAGGCCCTGGTACCCACACAGCTCACAGGTTTCTTTGGATGGGGAAGGAGACTGAAGGGCACAAAATCTAGAAAATGCAAACACAGACCCTGCCTTCTTTGGGGACAATCACTATGGACTATCAGATACATAGTTCTTGTACCAAAGTTACCCGAATAAGGATGACACTTAAGTTTGGGGAAATACCAACTAGCTTATTATCTAGCTTAAATTATGGTGTGTGCGGGGGTCCCCGGGAAGGAGGGGTAGCTGGGCAAAGTGTACAGTCTCAGTGCTTCTGTGGTTACTTTCCCCAAGACTCGTTAATACACGGTCTTAACAAATGGATGTAAAACTGTTCCTGGCAAAACGATTTGGGATCCTCACCTTTCTTTGGAAAATCCTCTGCTCACAAAATCCATCATGAATGAATGAGCTTCTTTCGATAAAACGTGATGGATTCTGAAATGATAAACCTTGGCAGGTTTAATCAGGTCTCAAATGTCTGCAAAAGGGGCATCGGATATTATCTTAATTCCTGTAAACTGCAGCTGTTTAAATTTTCACATTTATCTTAACTATGGAAAGCGAAATCATGCTGCAGGTTCACCTGAATTTCTAAATTTATGGCAGGAAATATCAACTGGGACTCTAGTATGCAAGCTTGAGTGACACAGGGAGGAAACAGCAGTTATGAACATTACTACTTTTTTTCATTGAGAATGAACTCATCTAAAGATACACCTGATTATATTAAAACCGAGATAAAGTTTTCATCCTCTCAGCATGTATTACTGCAATAGTCTGTTTGCCCTGCTCCGGTCATCTCAATTTGACCTATTCTTTGTTTTCCTATTAGTATTTTTACAAAACATCATTCACTGTATTAAATGGACACAATTCCCATCCACGTCTGAGGAGCTTTTGCTCTCCGTGTTTGTGGATTAGATGTTCTTCTGAGACATGAGAGTATGTTTCATGTTGTCTGTCAGGAAGCTAGGCCTTGGTAGTAAAATAACGTGTTTTATACAAATACAAAACCTGCCACCATAACTCAACACTATGAAGCCCCTTCTCTTTGAGAACAGGTGTAGCGATCCTCCCCAGACGCCATCACCTCCTGGAATAATTAGGTAAAAGTTAACATGAAATGTAAACACTGTGCACGCTCTT